TTTGCCCTGCTGATTGTCTATTTTTATAAGAGTTTACAACTTTTCTAAGCATTTTTTGTATACAAAGGAACTTTTTTAAAAAGACATCTCCGGTTTATATTGAATCCAAAGAAGAAGGATCTCGGGCAGTTTGGGGGCTTTGGTTTGGGGTTTCGTTTCTAAAGTTGTTTTTAATCTTCGTTGACTTTGGGGTTTGGGTACCCCTCTCTCTTCTTCGGACTTCGGAGGACCTTCTGGGCCCCCACATTAATGAGGTAGGTGAGATGCTGGGCTGGGGGAACAGAAGGGGATGAGGACTAGTGGGAAATCTCAAAGCGGTGGCCAAGGTAGCCCCCTGACTCCTGGTCCTTGTGCGCCCCGCCCGGCCCGCAGGCAGCCACCTGGCGAGTCTGACATGGCTGTCAGCGACGCTCTGCTCCCGTCCTTCTCCACGTTCGCGTCCGGCCCGGCGGGAAGGGAGAAGACACTGCGTCCAGCAGGTGCCCCGAATAACGTGAGTGTGGCGCTAGTGCCCGGTAGATTTCTGAGGATGGGATGGGGTGGGTGGGTGTGATCCAGGGGTCACTAAGAGCCCCTGGCTAAGACAAGGATTGCCCTCCTTTGGGACTCTACAGCCTTCCCAGGGTAGCTCCTCGGCCCTTGAGTCGGCCTTAAGTGCGTGTGGTCCCGGCACTGCGGTACCGCCAGGGGCGCACAGCGGTTCTCGTCACGGCGTCCCGGCCGTGGGGTGGGCGCATGCGGACCATTGGTGGCCAAGTCTCGAGACCCTCTGGGCCCGAGTGAGCTTAACGCGTAGGCGGCCGAGTGGCTCTAGTGCATGGGGAGAAAGCCACAGTGTCCTAGTGTCCCAATTCTGTGGGCGACTGGAGCGTCTCGGGTATCTGGCGGGGAAGAGAATTGGGCTGGCGGAGGTGCCGCACCAGTTTGAGGTGGAACCGACATACTGCCTCTTACCGTAGGGTGTTGGCTGAGATTGCAACCTTGGCACCTGGAGTCCTGTCCAGTTCCTATGGCAGAGGCGCTAGTGTGTTTCACCCCACCAAGTCAATACTAGGGGTGGCAACAGGGGGGCTACCACTAACTACTTCTCTCTCCGTCTCTGCCCTTGGCAGCGTTGGCGAGAGGAGCTCTCTCACATGAAGCGACTTCCCTCACTTCCCGGCCGCCCCTACGACCTGGCGGCGACGGTGGCCACAGACCTGGAGAGCGGTGGAGCTGGAGCAGCCTGCAGCAGTAACAATCCGGCCCTCCTACCTCGGAGGGAGACCGAGGAGTTCAACGATCTCCTGGACTTAGACTTTATCCTCTCCAACTCGCTATCCCACCAGGAATCGGTGGCCGCCACTGTGACCTCCTCGGCCTCAGCTTCATCCTCGTCCTCCCCGGCAAGCAGCGGCCCTGCCAGCGCGCCCTCCACCTGCAGCTTCAGTTATCCGATCCGGGCCGGAGGTGACCCGGGCGTGGCTGCCGGCAACACAGGTGGGGGGCTCCTCTACCCCCGAGAGTCTGCGCCACCTCCCACGGCCCCCTTCAACCTGGCGGACATCAATGACGTGAGCCCCTCGGGCGGCTTCGTGGCCGAGCTCCTGCGGCCGGAGTTGGACCCAGTGTACATTCCGCCACAGCAGCCTCAGCCGCCAGGTGGCGGGCTGATGGGCAAGTTTGTGCTGAAGGCGTCGCTGAGCACCCCTGGCAGCGAGTACAGCAGCCCGTCGGTCATCAGTGTTAGCAAAGGGAGCCCGGACGGCAGCCACCCTGTGGTGGTGGCGCCCTACAGCGGCGGCCCGCCGCGCATGTGCCCAAAGATTAAGCAAGAGTCGGTCTCCTCCTGCACAGTCGGCCGGTCCCTAGAGACCCACTTGGGCGCTGGACCCCAGCTCAGCAATGGGCACCGGCCCAGCACACACGACTTTTCCCTGGGGCGGCAACTCCCCACCAGGACTACCCCTACCATGAGTCCCGAGGAACTGCTGAACAGCAGGGACTGTCACCCTGGCCTGCCTCTTCCGCCAGGATTTCATCCCCATGCGGGGCCCAACTACCCTCCTTTCCTGCCAGACCAGATGCAGTCTCAAGTCCCATCTCTCCATTACCAAGGTCAGTAGGGGAAGGGATCCGTAGAGCCTGCTGCTAAGGAGTTTTGCCTCTGGGGGGGTTCTCGGAGACTCTCCAGAATGAAGTTGACCCCCCACTTTCTTTACCCCTAGAGCTCATGCCACCGGGTTCCTGCCTGCCAGAGGAGCCCAAGCCAAAGAGGGGAAGAAGGTCGTGGCCCCGGAAAAGAACGGCCACCCACACTTGTGACTATGCAGGCTGTGGCAAAACCTATACGAAGAGTTCTCATCTCAAGGCACACCTTCGAACTCACACAGGTGAGGGGCCCCGCGCTGTGGAGGAGGGTTGGTGTCTGTCTGCGCAGCACATAGATAGGCTGGCTGTGGACTCCTTAGGGCTTTCTTGGGTGCTGGGGTGTATCTCTTCCCCATCTCCTGGATCACAGAGGAGGGCAGCAAAGAGGCGCCTGTGTTTTTGCCCAGAAGCCTTTTGCTTGATGGATGCTATCTGCTGCCTGAATGTGCAGTTTCTCACCGGGCCTTTAAAAGATAGGGAGTTTCCTGTGCGTGCCTGCCCCTCCTCGCTTGCTGAGCGAGAAGTTGTAGTTTGCAATGCAAAACTGTGGTATCTTGAAAAGGAAAGCTTAAAATGTTGCAGATTATTTTCCTGGTCGTTCCCGCCTCTCCTTAGATCTCTGTACCCTTAGCTCTGTTCTAGTCTTAAAATAATTAGGTTGGATTTACATTCCAAGAATTTAATGGCTGTGGTTCCTGGGGATTCTGGTTTAAAACTGCCAATACAAGCTGGGTATGGTTTGAAGTTGTCCCTGCAAGCTGGCTGTGGTGACACTCAATCTTGTAGTTAGGAACACTGAAGAGACCAGGTTGAAAGGATCAGTTGCTCTTCAGGCCAGTCTGGTCAAGAACCCCAGTCTCAGAGTGACAAAACATGTGAAGGTAGTCATTAAATGGGTAAAGTCTTCGTCAATGTGTCTATTAAAACAACCGGAGTGACTCTGCCGGAGAAATTAGCCACCGGTGGCATCTTGGACCCAGCCTAATGGGATAGAATACGTTTGGTTTGGGCAGAAATAACTCCCAATCATTTCCCAGGCCATTTCTAACACTGGCTAGGTTCAAAAGAATGAAAACATCCGTTCTATTGAGTGGGAATTTGCATTTTTTTGTTGCTGCTAACTACTGTTTATGGGTTTAAGCTCATACACGTTCTTATTTATCATCTGATTCAATGTGGCCATAAAGGCATTCCTGGGTTGTTTTGGGTTTTTTTTTTTTTTTGAGAGGGTGGAGTGTACCCCGGAAGTTGGTTTTACTCTTGTCCTCGTCCTCTAGTCTTTAGAGGGGCGAATCATCCTAGCAATGGCTTTAGGAGCCCTCTCTCCCTTTCTCTTCCTAGGTGAGAAACCTTACCACTGTGACTGGGATGGCTGTGGGTGGAAATTCGCCCGCTCGGACGAACTGACCAGGCACTACCGCAAACACACAGGGCACCGTCCCTTTCAATGCCAGAAGTGCGACAGGGCTTTTTCCCGGTCGGACCACCTCGCCTTACACATGAAGAGGCACTTTTAAATCCCACGGAGTGGATGGGACCCACACTGCCAGGAGAGACTTCAGTATTCTTCTTCACCTTTCACACTGTCCTCCCACGAGGGGAGGAGCCCTGCTGGCAAGCGCTACAATCATGGTCAAGTTCCCAGCAAGTCAGCTTGTGAATGGATAATCAGGAGAAGAGTCCAAGAGACAAAAAAAAAACGAAACAAAAAAACACCAAAAAGAAACAAAAAAAAAAAAGAAAAAAACTCACAAAACAGATGGGGTCTGAGACCGGATCTTCTGTCATTCCAATATCGATTCCAACTTGAACACGCCTGGACTTACAAAATGCCAAGGGCAACTGGAAGTTGTGGATATCAGGGTA